TGCCCTCATGAGAATAAGCCTCAATAAGACTGGAGGAAAAGTCTCCACCATAGTCAGAGTGTAGAAGAAGCATCCGGAAGTCTGGAGGGAACCGTGCGCTCAGCTGGCGACGAAAAGTGCGGATCCAAGGGATGAAAACAGCACAGACGTCTCCCTTATGCTCTAAGGGAAACACTATGGTGTAGCGCGTGTAGTCGTCGACGACCAGCAGAAAGTAACGCTCCCGGCGCGGCCTGAGACGGGGCGGGGCTCCACACATCCATGTGTAGCGTCTGCAAAGGAGTAGTGGTTGGAGGGAACGAGGAGGAGTTATGAGCAGCGCGCTGCTGCCCCTTGACGCAGGGAGCGCACGGCGGCGCAAGCGATGGCGAGAGTGGGGGCAGGGACCTCGGGAGTCCAGAGACAAGGAGACGCAAGTGCATGCAACGCATACGCTGCAAGGAGGGGTGACCAAGACACTGGTGCCAGAGGAGAGACGGGTGCTTCAGTAACCGACACGAAGAGCTACCTGAATGGATGCTGCCACTTGTACAGACTCAGTGTGCAGTGTGATCCAGGCCAGACCCAGTCCTCCGAGTGATCGTAACGAGGTGGTCCCCAGTCAGTGTCCGTACAGGTCACCACAAGCTCGCCCCCAGGAGTGGTGGTAGTGACCAACAGATCCTGGGGGACAAAGGTACTCACCAAGTTCGTAGCGAGCGAGGGGAGGTGGAGACCTGTGACGGAGCCAGAGGGGGCTGCTAGACACGGGAGAACAATGAAGTTTGGGGCAACGACTGGGCCAGAGGAGGGGTCGGCCAGGGCGACAGGGACGGGTGTTGTGAGCGGTGTGACTGTGGTGCAGTCACAGAAGAGGCATCAAGATGCGCCTGAGTCCAGCGAGAAGGTGTGTAAAGCCTCCGCAGGAACTACACTTGAGATAGCAGACTCTTAAGCACCTCGACTAACCTCCTCGATACAGGCTAGCGACGTCAGTTGTTGCTGCTCCCAGAACAACGGATGCCGCCGCGATGTTGCTGCTGCTGCTGCCCACCCCCTGAACCTCCACCCCCACACACTGGTAACGACAGGTCGGGGAGGAGAAACGGTAGCGCAAGATGGCCTAGGGTTGCAGGAGAGAGAGAAGAGACGGCCTAGGAATGCCTAACCACATCGTCGTAGAAAGTCTGAGCCCACGACACCTGGCAAAAGTGGGCCCTTTGGTCGAGCGACAGGTGAGCGCGGTCAGCAAGTTGGGCGAGAGCGTCGCGTACCATCCACCGTATGCAGGCAATGCGGCCCGCCCGGTACCGTTACTGCACTTCCTCTCCAGCGTTAGCAGCAGGCTCAGTTGGAGTTGTGGGGCCTGAAGGGACCCCGAAGTGTGCTCGAACAGGGAGACGCCGTCCCTAATGAAACGTTGGAGATACAGGTGCAGGCGCTGTAGCCACGACCCAAACTCAAGAGGGCGTCCGTCCGCGTCAACCTCTAGGACAACGATAGTCGCCATGACAGAAACTAGGTCAGGCAGCACCACTAGGATCTAGGTACGAACAGCGGCTCGGGATACAGCCCGGTAGTAGGTCAGCAGTAGCATGGACCTGTGCAGCAGTGGCTCTTGGGCGATAGAGGCACACAAGCAGCAGAGACGGTATGGCGCAGAGGCGGTAGTGGCGGCAGCATGGCGCACGAGCAGTAGCAGCGAAAGGGCAGCAGAAACGGCGGTGCAGAGCACGGGCGGCAGCGGCTGCGGTGTGGCGCTCGGCGGCAGCAGTGCACGGGCAGCAGGGGCGCACAGGCAGAGGCTGCAGCTGCAGTTGCTGTAGCGGCAGTTGCGGCAGTAGCGGCAGTAGCAGCATCTGCAGCAGTGGTCGGCTGTAGCGGCGGCTTTAGCAGCTGTAGCGGCAGTGGCGGATGGCGAGACTGCGGCAAGGGCGGCAGCTGTAGCGGTAGAGGTAGCTGCAGAGGCGGCTGCAGTGGTTGCACTAAGGGCCAAGGCTGCTGCAACTGCAGCTGCAGCGGCGATTGCAGTGGCGGCTGCAGTAGCATCTTTAGCGGCAATGGCGCTAGCACGCCGGGCAGGGAGGCGCTAAGGCTTGGGGCAGGGCAGCGTGAGGGCGCAGGGAAATGTAGCGCGGACGCGCTTGGCAGGGCAGCGCGACGGCACAAAGCAGGGCAGTGGGACGGCAGAGGGCAGGGCAGCGCGACGGCGTGGGGCAGGGCAGCGCGACGGCGCGGGGCAGGGCAACGCGACGGCGCGGGGCAAGGCAGCGCGACGGTGCGGGGTAGGGCATCGCGATGGCGTGGGTCAGGGTAGCGTGACTGCGCGGGTCAGGGCAGTGCGGCGGCACGGGGCACGGCAGCACGACGGCGCGGGGCAGGGCAGCGTGGCGGCATGGGGCAGGGCAGCGAGACGGCGCAGGGCAGGGCAGCGTGACGGCGAGGGGCAGAGCGGCGTGAAGGGGCACGCGCGAGGCTGCAAAGGGCAGCGGTAACAGCTAAGGGGCAGCACGAGGGCTGTGCGCAGGGTAGCGGTAACAGCTTGTGTAGTGCAGCGCGTAAGGGGTAACATCGGGCAAACCTAGCCTAGGTACAGTAAGTACGGCAGTAGGTACGGCAGGACCTAGCCTAGCCTCTGGTACCATGTGAAACTATACAAGAGTGGAATGATGTTCACTAGCAAGAGTTGGGTACCAGTACAAACCCTAACAAGTGTTGTACCCCATATTGTATGCCCCACTAAAGCGTGACAATCAAAATTTTGTTTTGACAATCGTCCTCTTCACTAGACGGCAGTTGTGAGAGTAGCAAAGTACCTGGCGACTACACCAGGCATGGGGACACAGCCAATTGTGCTGATCGGTCACTACGACTCTTCCTACTGATGACGTCGAGACCCAGAGGTATACAGGGAATCTCGTGCTGTGTGGTAGAGGCCTACTCGGTCGTCGTCTATGGGGAAGTCTGTTAAAGTAAGGAAAGCCATGGATGGCGAGAGGCTTTGGTGAGGTTGAAGAAGTTGAACTAGGAGGAGAATGTCGAGATACAAAAGAGAGAGGGTTGGAAACCCTAATTGAACCTAGGGTGTGTTCGGTTTGTTCTAACAATTATGAAATGAACCTAAAATGAACCTGAGTGCGTAACTCGCTCTAAGCCCAGAGAAATAACAATATAAGAACACCAAAATAAAGGCCAGAGCGAGCTCTAGCCTACTCCAACACACCCCCAGGCTAGGTGAAGCTCTGGAGCAAAACACCTAGCGAACCGGCACACCCCCAGAAGTGGAGAGACGCGTGAGCCCAAGCTCGCGCACGTAGAAACGGTGCGGTGCACGCAGGAGGGCCTTGGTGAAAATGTCTGCAAGGTTGGCAGTAGCGTCCACCTTGCGAAGGCGTAAGAAGCCAGACTGCACCAGCTCACGCACAAAGAAATAGCGGACCTCGATATGCTTGCTGCGGGCGTGATAGACAGGATTTTCAGTGAGATGGATCATGCTCGCACTGTCACAGGAGAGCGTCACAGAGGACTGAGAGTGACCAAGCTCAGCAAGGAGAAAGGAGAGCCAACGAGCTTCCTGAGCCGCCAATGTGCCTGCGTACAACTCAGCCTCGCAGGTGGAAAGGCAGACAGAGGATGAGCGAGTGGAGCGCCAGCTGATGAGACCACTGCCAAGAGTAAAACCATAGCCCTGAGATGAGCGACGATCAGGGCGAGAGTCAGCGTAGGAAGAGTCACTGTAGCCGGAGAGAACGGGAGGAATAGAGCCACCAAGAGTGAGAGCAAGGTCAGAGGTGGCACGCAGATAGCGCAAGACGCGCTTAGCAGCTGCCCAGTGCACGTCAGTGTGGCGGCCCAGACCAACAAAGCGAGAGAGAACACTGAGGGGATAAGCAAGGTCGGGGCGAGTGCACATCATAGCATACATGAGAGATCCAACGAGCTCAGGATAAGGCCGCAGCTCTGAGGAGGGAGCAGGGACGGCAGGGGCAGTAAGCTGATGGTTAGCGGGAAGAGGGGTGGAGACCGGCTTGGCTTGCGACATCTCAAACCGCTGGAGGATGGACTGAATGTAGAAAGACTGGGAGAGAGAGATGGTACGAGCAGCACGATCACGACGGATCTCCATGCCGAGGTAGTGACGAAGCTCGCCAAGATCCTTGCACATGAGACGCGCCTGCAGGGCTTTCTTGACAGCTGCAAGATCGGCGGAGTCCTCAGCAAGCAGCACCAAATCATCCACGTAGGCAAGGATGTAAAGCCTGTGGGGGGATGTGCGAATGAAAAGACTGGGGTCGGAAGTGGAGGTAGAGAAGCCAAGAGAGTGAAGAGTGGAGGCGAGCTTGGCGTGCCACTCGCGCGGGGCCTGTTTAAGGCCATACACAGGTCGCTTGAGTTCCCAAACAGTGCCTGGAGGGAAAGGGCGAGGAAAACCAGCGGGGCGCTCAAGGAATATGCGCTCATGCAGCTCGCCCTGGAGGAAAGCATTGGAAACGTCCATGGAGTGGATCTCCCAATTCCAGCGAGCGCCTAAGTCAAGAAGGAGGCGGAGAGTGGGGAGACGGGCTGTGGGGGAGTAAGTGGCAAAGTAGTCAATGCCTTCACGCTGAGTGAAGCCCTTGGCACAGTAGCGGGCCTTGAAGACAGGAAGTTCGCCGGGCAGCTGCTTGACACGGAAGACCCATTTGCCTTTAACAATAGTGGCGCCAGGGGGGGGGACAGAGTCAATGTAGGAATTGGTTCTGGTAAATGCCTCGCACTCAGCAATGATGGCAGTCATCCATTCAGTGGCATGAAAGCCCGACACAGCCTCGGAGTAGGACAGAGGGGTGGGAATGGCAGCGGTGTCAACAGAAAGAAGAGTGGGAGAATTGCTAAAGTCACCGACGGTGACACACAGAAGAGGAGAAACAGGATGAATGTTGAAGAGCTCCTCAAAGCGATCTTCAAGAAGATTAACATTCTGGGGTGGAGAAAGACGAGTGAAAAGAGCAGAGTGTTGAAAGTTAGAAAGCGCGCGAGTCATGGAGCGAGTAAGGCGCGGGGAAGGGGGGGGAATGGGAACAGGTGAAGGAGGTGGAGAGGAAGATGGAGGTGAGGAAGGGACGGGAGCCGAAGAGGAAGAGGCGGGTGGGGAGGCGCCAGAGATGATGTCGGAAGGGGGGGCAGTAGAGGCTGGCGCGGGTGGAGGGGCGGGAAGGGGCGGGAGAAGGGGGGGGGGGAGGAGGGGAGGGAATGACAGACGACGGCTGATCGAAATCAGACCAGCGAAGAGAGGGGACAGGAGGGGCAGGTGGGGGGGAATGGAATGGGGATCGAGTCTCATTGAAAATAACGTCCTGGCTGCGGATGAGCTGGTGAGAGGAAGGGGCATAGAAAAGGTAGCCAGGACAGTCAGAGTTTATGCCAAGGAAGGCACAGAGTTGAGTCTTGGGAGCGAGTTTCCCACCCTGACGGGACCGGTCTGCTGGATTGACAAGAACATGGGCGACACACCCCCAGACCCGAAGAGAGCGAACAGAGGGCTGGCGGCCAGTCCAAAGCTGGAAAGGGGTGGTACTAGGGCGATGAGGATGAGGGCGGAGGTTAGAGAGCAGAGCGGCATGGAGGAGAGCATAGCTCCAAAGAGAGTGGGGAGCAGAAGCATGGGTGAGAAGGCAGCGAGTAATTTCCATGAGAGTGCGATTGCGACGCTCAGCAACCCCATTCTGTTCTGGGGAGTGAGGAAGGGTGGAGGTCTGGCGAATGCCATGAGAAGCACAGTAAGAGGAGAGAGAGTGATGAAAGAATTCGCCACCACCATCTGAGTGGAAGCGCGCGACAGGACGCTGAAAGCGCAGACGAGCCTGCTCAGCCCAGCGAATGATCAGGGAAGGGGCGTCAGATTTGGCACGGAGGGGATAGACAGTGGCAAATCGTGAGTGATCATCAACCAAAAGCAGAAAGTATCGATGACCCTGGCGAGAAGCAGTAGGTGAAGGACCCCAGAGATCCATATGAACAAGGTCAAGGGGTTGGGGAGAGGCAGAGGGAGAAGAGGGATGGGGTGACTGGGATAGCTTGGCCTGGACACATGGGGTGCATGGAGGAGCAGGAGAAGGAGGAAGGGGGGGAAGAGAGGAAGGGAGGCCATGAAGAAGCTTGGAGGAGACCATACTGCGAAGAAGGGGAAAATTGGGGTGGCCAAGTCGATGATGGAGGAGGAGGGTAGGTTGAGTGAGAGAACGACAGTCGCAAGAAGGAACAGGAGGGGCGGAAGCTGAAGTGGCATGATGGGCAGAGTGGGGGAGAGAGACACGAAGAGTGTAGAGGCGAGTGATAGGGGAAAGCGTGAAGCGTGCAAGATGGCGGTTGCGATGATAGAGATCACAGTGGGAGTCACATTCTGGAAAGACAGCTCGCACACAAAGACGTTGAAGAGCAGAGAGAGAAAGAAGGTTGTGGCGGCAAGAAGGAACATAGAGGCCAGTCACAGCACCAGAGGGGGAGGCAGGACAGGGGAGAGAGGAGGTAGCAGTGCAAGTCATGGTCATGGTATCCCCAGCCCCTTGAATGGAGAGGGGATGGGGAAAAGAGCGAAGCACACCAGCGTCACGAAAAACAGAGTCAGTAGCACCACTGTCAAGAACAAACTCAAGCGTGCGAGGGAGGGAAAGAGCAGCAGCTGTGGGACCAAGATACTGAGAATCATTGCCATTAACAGAAGGAGCAAACATCATGGCAAAACGAGGGTCCATAAGGGGAGAAGCCCCCAGAATGCTATCCTGACTAGGCATAGTCACACTGAGAGCAGAGGTTTGAGTACTGGCACCAGAGTCGGCGGCCACAAGTACCGCCTGGGCAGAAGACTGGCGACGCTGACGAGAGAGTTGAAGCCAGTTGGGAGGGCGACCAGTGTTGCCAGCCAGGAACCAGTCATCGGTGAGTTTCTGGAAGCAGGAGGTGGCGGGATGATTGGTGCGACCGCAGGGCTGACCCTTGCGGGGCCCCTGACGAATGATGTAGGTGCAAGGAGGAAAGGTGTTGCGAGGGCGAGAGGAAGCGGCAGCGGCAGTGGTGGTGGGGAGAGGAGGGGGGGCGGAAGAGGGTGCGACAGCGGCGGCAGTAGGAGGGCAGCTGCGGAGGTTGAGCTCTGCCTGGAGGAGGAAGGCAGAGACACGAGAGAACGACCACTGGTCGGCGGGGCGCTCACCATACAGGGTGACATGAACACTGTATTCAGGAGTGAGGCCTGTGAGGAGGAGGGCACCGCAGACATGATCGGAAAGTTCGAACTTTTGAGCAGCAAGTTGGGAGGACAGCGTCTGCACACGAGCGATATAGTCCGCCATGGTGGTGAAGTCAGCAAGGCGAAGAGAAGTGAGCTCGCGTAAGAGGGCAATGACACTGATGGGAGTCTGCGACTGGAAGCGCTCAGTAAGATAGCCGAGAAGGTCCTTGGCATAGCGGATGTGCGAGCACTGAGGGAGAAGGGTTGGAGGTAGGCAGGCAAGGATGACCTGGCAGGCACGTGCGTTGGCAACATGCCAGTCAGCGAGAAGGTCAGAGTGAGATGGAGCAGAAGCAGAGGGCAGAGGGGCAGAGCGAGGAGAAGGGGTAGCGAGATGCTCAGAGAGGCGCTTGCGGGTGCTCTCGAGGGATTCAGAAAGAACACGAGCGAGGTCACGGGCAGCAGCATTGTCAGGAGCAGCCGCGGCAGTGGTTTGGGCCGTGGCCGCAATCCGCTCAGTTTCAGCGATAGCAGCACGAAGGCCATCAGCATAGGGATCGGAGGAGGTAGAGGTAGGTGTAGAGGCAGGTTTAGGAATGGCGCCAGAGCCACTCTGCTGAGTGACAAACCAGAGGTTAAAGCCACTCACGAGGGTGCCAGACAGCGTGCGCTCAAGACAGTTCAGCCAACTGGGGAAGTTGACTGCGCTGCCATCAGGCGCGAGCTGAAGGACCAGCAGAGGGAGGGAGGGGAGGGCGAGAGAAGTCGCCATAAGGAGGAGGAGACAGCTGCAGAGCAGATGAGGGGAGAGGTATAAGAGGCGGAGGAATAAGGGGCGAAGCAGTCTGCTGCTGAGCCGCTGAGGGGAGAAAACAAGAGGAGGAGGGATATGGACGGAGTAGTCTGCTGCTGAGCCGCTGAGGGGAGAAACAAGAGGAGGAGGAATAGTGGGGGAGTAGTCTGCTGCTGCGCCGCTGAGGGGAGAAACTAGAGGAGGAGGGATAGTGGCGAGGTAGTCTGCTGCTGCGCCGCTGAGGGGAGAAACTAGAGGAGGAGGGATAGCGGCAAGGTAGTCTGCTGCTGGGCCGGTGAAGGGAGAAATAAGAGGAGGAGGGAGAGTTGTGAGGGAGTTCGCAGTTGAGCAGTTGAGGGGAGGGTAGTGAGGAGGAGGAAAGGTGGGGAGGAGTACCAACTTAAAAAAAAAGCGCAATCAACACCAGCTGCAGCAGATGAGGAGAGAAAAGAGGTGGAGGAAAACGGGTGAGATAGTGAGGGATGCACAAAGGAGAGAGGAAAGGAGGAGGAGGGTAAGGGAGGGAGGGCGGATTGTGAAAGGGCAGGGCGCGCCGCAGGGGAGGCAGGCGCGCGCGCTGCTCGACGAAGCGAAGCGCGCGCTGCGACGGCAGCACAATGCGCACGCGACGAGACGGGAGAAGGCGCGGAGCCGGGGGGGGGGGGGGGGGGGGGGGGGGGGGGGGCTAAGCGCGCTACAAGCAGAAATCGGCGCGCTACCGCCGGGAACGTGAAGAGGAAGAGGCGCGACGAAGAGGGAAGGCGCGGGGGAGCGATATGAACGGGAGGGAGGCGCGCTACGGAGCGGAATTGAGTATCCGCGTGACTAAAGTGAAGAAAATCGCGAGGATACTAAGAGTGACTGTAAAGAAACGAGAAAATAAAAAAAAGGAAAATCGTCTAGCTAAGTAGCGCGGAAATGGCCTAAGGGCCAGAAACTTTCTAAGAGATGCGGATAAAACGGAAACGCCTAGGACTAGGCTCTGAATACCATGTTAAAGTAAGGAAAGCCATGGATGGCGAGAGGCTTTGGTGAGGTTGAAGAAGTTGAACTAGGAGGAGAATGTCGAGATACAAAAGAGAGAGGGTTGGAAACCCTAATTGAACCTAGGGTGTGTTCGGTTTGTTCTAACAATTATGAAATGAACCTAAAATGAACCTGAGTGCGTAACTCGCTCTAAGCCCAGAGAAATAACAATATAAGAACACCAAAATAAAGGCCAGAGCGAGCTCTAGCCTACTCCAACAAAGTCTAGCGCTGAGGCCGAGATCTATGCGGTGCCATGGCTGCGCAGGAGATTCGCTGATTGACTCTTTTGGTCACCGACCTTGATGAGCGGTAGAGCTCTGTTCCGACCTTGTTCATTGGCAACAAGGCCATGATCCTCCTGTGTTGATAGCCTTAATTGGGGAGCAGAGTCAACCATATCATCGTGCGGAAATTTCTACTGCGAAAGCTGCAACGACGCGGCCAGGCACGCTTGGGCTTTGTGTCCTCAGCGGTCAACACTGCAAACATCTTCACAAAGGCCCTTCCGCTTGGTGACCACATGTACTATCTGCAACTAGGCCTTGTTGAGCTAGGCCCTTGGTGGCTGTAGTCTTGCCCCTTGTTTCTTTCTCCGCTTATCTTTGTATTTTTAAATATATATATATATGTGAATTCTTGAACTGGCCTTGAGGCCACTTGCTTGTGCTCAGGCTGTTTGGTGATTTCGTGATCCACCCTGAGCTTTGTGTTGTTGCTTCTCTTGACTGGTCTTGTGACCATTTGTTCCTCTTGTTTTTTTTGTTTTTCCCCTCACTTAGCCTATGGGGGTGTGTCAAATGTTGCAGATGTTTGGTAGGCTATAGTGAAGCATGTAATAGGGAGTACAACCATTTTACGGTTATGTATTTGTATCCCAACCCTTGCTAGTCACATCCATTCCGCTTGCCTAATTCTGAGAGTAAGGTACTGCTAGGACAAGGCTAGGCTCTGTGCAAAGCCACTGATGATCACGACTCAAGAGTGCCTTGGTGAAGATATCGCCGGTGTTGGCCCCGAACGGCTATCTTGAGGGTGGCCAGCTAGAGTGAACGCGGCTTCAGCTCTCAAAGTCGTGGAGTTGATGATGTTAAACTAACAAGACTACGACACGGAGTGGGAGAAGACAGTGGACTTGAGGAGCAGCACATACCCCGGATATAAGACCCCCCCCCCCCAGTTGTAGACCCCCGGGTCTATAATACGGAGGGGTGTATTCTAATAGGACATTTGTAGTTATACCTCCGTTTTGGGGGGCTAACATTATAAGGCCCCCCCCCTCCCCTTGGAGACCGGGTCATTTTGTAGGCAAGTAATGAAATTCTGATAAAATTTCTACCCTTTTCCACACCAAATCCCATACCATGTTCATTAAGGAGGGGTGTTACGGGGTAGTTTACTGTTCAAGGGTTGTTTACCCTAAACATTACCCCAAAACGAAGAAGGAACGGGGAGGGGTGTTACGGGTTGTTTATCTTCATCGAATCCCTTTGAGATTTCCTAGATTTCCCATCCGCCACATGGCACTCTACTTTTCTAGCTTTCCAATTCCTAGTCCCACGAACAACTTTTCAACAATTGCTCTTGCATGCTATATCAACCTTGCTTGTACTTGCCAATATCAACCAACTCTCATTCAACTCTTCAATTATTCAGTAACTTCTTCGCCTATTTTGCCAATAGTTCTTTCGCCAAAGTCTAGCGCCGTGTTTCCATCCTCGACTTAGTCGACCCCGCTATTCTTTAGCGGACTTAGGCCAACAGGCCTAACGCTTGGT